TGGATGGGTGTTTGGTTTTGATGAAAAGTAAATTAAACTTAATTAAATTACAGAATTGATAAAAACATAAAATTAAGGTAAAATGATAAATGACGGACTAGCTAGAGGGTTCTTCTCCACACATGACACATATGCAACCTAAATTGATTTTTCAGTTGTTCTTTCAATAAATTGTGAATCTCAATACTCCAGATTAACCGTGAACAGCACTTTTTTAATCTTCAAGTTTTCCTTAAGTTATTGAATTGGACGGGAAAACGCATACAACAATTCAAAACATTCTTCAAAAGTCCCCTACGTGAAAAGCACAATAGAGATACAATCAAAGATCATTAAACTTTGTGAAAACTATAAGCATTGACGAGGCATTCGTAACTATGAAAAGCATGATACTCTTGCCAAGAATTTACTTAACGTGATTGTGACTAGCAACCTTTACTACTTGTGAAAATAAGTTCATAACGATTAGGTGAAATTCACTTATATTCTAGCATCAAATTCATGCATGTAAATTAAGCGTGCACTCTCAACCAACATACACAAATCAGTTTTTATACGAACGGATAAGTAAATTGAAATCACAACTTATGAAATCACAACCGAAGGTAATCAATTCATATTACAAATATATTCATGGCTTTGAATTAACCTCTAGCCAAAATAAGTTTAATTACACATTATTAAAACATAAATAAAAGAGAAGTTTGGAAAGATTAAACCGAAAAATAAGGGAGTTTGCTGTCTGTCCGTGCCTCGCGCCACGTGCTTTTTCTGACCTCCCTGTCTCTCGGTCCTCACCTCTCCAGCTGCTTGACAGTCCTCAAGACTGCACAGCAGCCTTCCTCTCTCAATCCTTCGTTCCCCAGTCTGCGCCACGTGCTGCCAAGGCAACACCTTATTTCTCCTGACTTCTCCACGAGCTGCCCAAGCAGCTCTCCTCCTGACTTCTGGCCTCGGGCTGCGCAAGGCAGCGTCCCTCTTGGTTCAGCTGCCAAATGGCAGCCTTGCTTTGTACTTCTCTCCGTCCTCCCTCTAGCTCTCGCTGACTCCCTTCTCGAGCTGCCCAAAGGGCAGCTCCCCCTTTTCCTTCTATCTCTCCCCGCGTGCTTCTTTTTGTTTTCTGTTTTTCTATTCCCTCTTTTCCCGCATACTCCTGCCTTCCACTCCTCACGTTTCCACCTTGGATTCTTTCCTTTCTTTGTTCAACTCTTTCTTTCCACCGTTTTCTTTCTTTTTTTTTTTTCTACAAAACAAAACCATCATGATGATGTTTCAAACATCATCACGACTTATCATTATTAAATATAATTTTTAATTTAATTTAAAAGCTGATCTACACAGACAGTTTTGACGAATTTATTACATAAAATTTCACTTGTTCTATTTTTATTTTCTTTGCATAAACAAATCCTATAAACACAAAAATAACGTAAATAGCTCAAAAATATAAGAAACTAACTAAGAAAAGACGAGTGAATTTGAAGTAAAAATATATATAAATATGATCCGATCACATAGCACCATCGAATGTTATGTGGACGATCTTGTCATCAAAACAAGAAAAAAGGAACATCATTTGAACGACTTAAAGAAAGTCTTTGACAGACTCCGAAAACATCAATTAAAGATGAATCCTTTGAAATGCGCATTTGGAGTGACATCTGGTAAATTTCTTGGCTTTGTGGTAGGTATCGAGGAATCGAAGTTGACCCTTAAAAAATCAAGGCAATCATGGAAATGCCTCATCCTTGAAACCTGTGAGAGCTACGAGGACTACAAGGAAGATTGGCATACATCAGGAGATTATTCTCAAACTTATCTGGGAGATGTCAACCATTCACAAGGCTGATGAAAAAGGATGTGCCTTTCATGTGGGATGACGCATGTCAAAACGCTCTCAGCAGCATTAATGAATATCTTTTGAAACCCCTGGTGCTGATGGCTCCAATTAAAGGGAAACCCTTAATTTTGTATATTGCAGCATTTGAACGCTCACTAGGGGCAATGCTTGCAAAAAACAATGAAGAAGGAAAAGAAAATGCGCTCTATTATTTAAGTCGAACGCTTGTAGGGGCAGAGCAAAATTACACCCCTATTGAGAAGGTTTGCTTGGCTTTAGTTTTCGTTGTACAAAAACTACGACATTACTTACTGTCACACAACATTACTTTGATATCTAAAGCGGACCCACTCAGATACTTGATGTCAAAACCAATGCCATCCGGTCATCTTGCAAAATGTTCTTTACTACTATCGGAATTTGAAATCAAGTATGTCTCTCAAAAAGCTATAAAGGGATAAGCATTAGCTGATTTCTTAGCAACTCATCCTGTTCCCGACAACATGGAGTTACCAAGCGATTTGCCGGGATGAAGAAGTATTCTCGACATACGTTTCTCAATGGCAACTTTACTTTAACGGAGCGGCAAGGAAAAAAGGCGTGGGGGCAGGTATTGTGTTCATCACACCATGTGGAGGCCTAATCCCGTATTCATTTTCGCTCATGGAGTTATGTTCAAACAATGTGGCAGAATACGAGGCACTAATCATTGGACTTGAAATTGCACTCAAACTACATGTTGATTGCCTCTTCAAGCTTATGGTGATTCACAACTAATCATCAAGCAAATGAATGGTCAATATGCTATGAAAATGAAAATCTAACCTTGTATCAGGAAAGAGCAAAACACTTGGTGTCACAATTCCAAGAAATCAACATTGCTCATATTCCAAGGTCTGAAAATAACAAAGTCGATGCATTGGCAAAGCTAGCAGCATCTTTAACTCTCCCTGAGGAACGAGAAGTTAAAATTACAGTGGGAGAACAACATTTACTTCCTTCAACACTAGAGTGGATTGAAGAAAACCATGAAGTCAACGCGGTTACAGTCCTGGAAGTAGATGAATGTTCTGATTGGCGGCAATCTTTAATTGACTATCTTCAATATGGAAAACTACCAACTGATCCCAGATGAAGAGTTGATGTATAAAGAAGGGCCAACTGATTTGTGTATCTGAATGACAGATTGTACAAAAGGTCTTTTGACGGAATATTGTTAAGGTGTTTATCAAAAGAAGAAGCGGCCAATGCTCTCTCTGAAACTCATGCCGGTATTTGTGGAGCCCATCAATCTGGACCTAAGCTTGCAGCTCAATTGAAAAGACTTGGTATTACTGGCCTACAATGGTTCAAGACGCAATGAAACATGTGAAGTCATGTTGGGCATGTCAAATACATGGAGACTTCAAGCACCAAAATCCATTGCCCCTTCATCCGACCATCTTGTCTTGGCCATTTAATGCATGGGGTTTAGATGTGATAGGCATGATAACCACAAAATCATCCCTCCAACATCAATACATCTTAGCAGGCATGGAGTATTTCTCAAAGTGGGCTGAGGCAATACCGTTAAAAGAAGTGAAAGCGGAAGACGTTGCAAATTTTATAAAGAAAAACATAATCTATCGCTACGGAGTCCCATCCAAAATAATCTCAGACAATGCTCTTTACTTCAAGTGTAGGGCCATGGTCAATCTTTGCACAAAGTACAACATTCAACAAGCCTTTTCTGCAAGTTACAACCCAACCGCCAACGGTCAAGCAGAGGCTTTAAACAAAGTGTTGTGCAACATCCTAAAAAAATGGTGGCAAAGAACAAAAGAGATTGGCATGAACGCCTTCCTGAAGCATTATGGGCCTATAGGACCACCGTCTGTACATCCACCCAATGTACTCCATATAGTCTGGTGTATGGATCAGAAGTTGTGCTACTCTTGGAAATTCAACTACCTTCCTTAAGAGTAGCCATACAACTGACAAATCTCGAAGAAAATGTAAAAATCAGGTTAGCGGAACTTGAAGCACTTGATGAAAAACGACTTGCAGTGCAACAAAGACTTGAAGTCTATCTTGAGTGGCAGGTGCATTCAACAAAAAGGTTAAGTATAGATCGTTCTCTGTTGGAGATTTATCTTAACCGTCCGAAGACCCGTCGTCATCACCAGAAAGATGCAAGGAATTTGAAGCCAAATGGGAAGGATTGTATGTTGTCACCAAAGTCTTCACCAAAGGTGCCTACGAACTCTCTAACGCCAATGGGAAATGCATATACCCATGCGTTAATGGAAAGTTCATGAAGAAGTTCTACACATAAACAATGTGAAACGAACTCCAAGAGGGAAACAAGTGCAGAGGAAGCAAGTCAAGATAAATCATTTCCTCTGAACTACGTATGACTTGATCCCTCAAAAAGGGTATGTAGGCAGCCTAGCATTAAAGTTGGGTGCAGTCATAAAAAAATATAAAAACAAAAATAATTCCCAAAATTAAGGGATAAACTACGTTTGGCTTGATCCTTTCACAAGGTACGTAGGTAGTCTAGTTTTATTACTAGATACAGCCGTAAAAAAACACTTTCCCGAAAACAAGTGATGAACTACGTTTGGCTTGATCCCATCACAGGGTACGTAGGCAATCTGATCCCAAAAATTAGATACACCCATAACTCATAAAAAATTATATATTTTTCCCCTAACAGAATTAGCACTTGTTCGAATTGTCATATGCTAAAATTTGTCTGAACTCTTCCCAGACGAGAGTTTAAGGACAAAGCATACGTGATTTTCACTTATGTAGGGTGAAGAAAAAAGTTTGATGCACTGAAAACAATAAATTGTCATGCATGCAGCAATTGTACTTAAAGTTTAAAGCAGTAGCTATGTTTGACTAATGACACAACTATCTACAAGGAAACGTGCCATGTAAACTAAAAGTTAAAAGCGACGGCCATGTTTGAAAAATGGTACATCTATATTTGTAGAAACATGCTGCAGAAAATAAAAAAAAAAAAAAAAAAAAAAAAAAAGCCCTTTTAAACATAAAGGAAAAGACGACTTCATTACAAGATTACCAATTAAAGCATTTCTATATATATATATATAGAGGTAAAGGTACGGCATGCTGAAGTTAAACACGGCACGTAAACTGAGCAAGGGAGATGGGTAAAGGAATATGGTTTGAATAAAATAAAAAATTCAAATAAATCTCAAACGTTATGGTTCAATCCCATTATTATCAACCAAGTTTGCTCAAAAGAGTCTGCGAAAAAAGAGGAAAGGCCAACATAAATATCCCAAAATAGCAGGAGTGTAAAACAGAAGGAAAACCACATGAATCCCTACTCCGGTTTACTGCAAAAGTGGAGCAGGGAAGCAATCGAGTTCAAAAATCTTTCTTCTGCAGATTTGTTCAAAGCTTTAGCACGCCCAACGTCTGGGAGAAGCCCTTCATTCGCGTCAATCCAGGACTGACGAAGTTCTACATCCAATTTCTTTTTTTTCACTCAATTGAAGCTTTAAGGTCACTCACTCGATGCTTGACAGAAACTCTTCCGGAATCATACTGCTGACGAAGAACACGAACGACCTCATCTGCTTCTTTTCCACCAATGGTACTGCATGTGGATAAACTGCTATACACTAATGTTCTTAGAATTCCTGGGCAACTCAAGTGACTAAAAAAATCTACTCGGATGTCAAACCACTGTCAAATCAAAACATAAATGGAACTAGAGAAGAGAAAAAAATTTCAAGCCTCGCACATGTCAAAGCCATTTCCACGCACGATGCTTGAGCGGGCAACTGTTGAGCTATATATTTTCACAAACAAAATATTTTAGCAAGTCTTATTAAAAACAGGGAGACTTAAGAGAAAAATAAAAAATAAAAAAATATTCTACACTTGCACGTACGTGGACTATGACAAGTCTGATGGAGTTTTGTTATCTATGTGGCAACCAAGTACAGAGATCATGTGTGTCTAGAACTCTCCAAAAACCCCCCACGTTCTCCACTCAAGTGATGGCTTTCTCTCAGCATCTCCACACCCCAGGAAAATAGCATCCCACTAGCTTTAACTGCCATGTCCACCTTTCGCCTATAAAAAGGCATCAAACCAAAGCAAAGAGGACAACAGAAACAGAGAGGAGAGACTCTACACAAATTGTGAGAGAAATTGAGAGGAAAGAAGTAACGAAGTACTGTAGAAGAGAAGATGAAGTAATTCCATTACCGGCGATTGAGAAGCAAATTACAAGCAACAATCAGAAGGTACAAAACTATGTTTCTCTTCATTTTCTCTCTAGTAAATTTATTTTGCAGGCAAACGTTGTTGTTAAAAACCTTGGTCGGCAACAACAATTTATGCTAGCAACCGTCGATGTTAGACAAAAACCCAAACGGAAATGGCAATCGTACCACGTCTCCAACCGACATCTCCGGTGATTTTCCAGATGGAGTCTGTGCACTATGAAACTTGAAGGAAATAGATTTGATGATGCAATGTTGCATAGTGGCGGTCTTCCCAGAAATCCATGCATTATGCGGCTTAAAGAAGATGGGTTTGGTGATGCTGTGTTGCATAAAACCAAAAGAACCCGAAGGTCTAGATGGAGTCCGTGCACTACGCAACTTGAAGGAAATAGATTTGATGATGCAATGTTGCATAGTGGCGGTCTTCCAGAAGAAATCCATGCATCATGCGGCTTGAAGGAGATGGGTTTAATGATGCTGTGTCGCATAAAACCAGAAGAACCCAAAGGAAGTCGCGTCATTGTAGAAAGAGACCAACAACCAAAGCTGCCATGTTGCTGACACCTTCGACTTCTCCACAATCCTTCGCCGTCATCAACACCCTTCAACTGATGCCCTCCAAAATCAGTTGTCACGGTCTCTCCCGATGATTGCAACAGCTTGGCGTGGAAGAATAAGAAGTGGTCCCTGCTTATTAAAGAGAAACTGAAGATGCTTGGAGAGTTTGCATCAAATTCAACGAAGGAAAATGGTGCAGCAAAAGCAAAGTAGAACACCTGCAAAGGAAAGAACTTGAAGCAAATCACGTAGACTTCCCACTTGCAAGCCATTTTTCAAAGAAAGTAACAATAAGCTTCAAGTATGGAGGAATAAGGTTGCAGAGAAGAAAGACAGCAACTAACCCGTCTCCATTATTTGTGGCGCCTCGGTTCACTTGCCACTAAAACTCTACAAAGGAGCAACCCGACCACCGCCGTCATTGTCTTGAAGTTAAGGAAAAATTGTCTTGGAAAGGAAGGATGTATTGCTGGCATAGAACACCAAAAAATGGTGCGGGCTGCTGTTTAAGTTACTAGGAAAAGAAGACGATGTAGATGCTATCTGTGATCACAGAAGATTAAGTTAGAAGACAAAGCATCCAGCAAGGAAGAGAAAAGGTGGAGTGCTACTACGGATAAAATACTCCCCAAATAAACTAGAAATGTTGCTCCACATGGAGATTAAATGAAAAAGGAAGAAAGTCAATGGCCTTTTCATTTGTTTTATTCATATAGGAGTTTATTAATTTTTGGCTCTGAGAACAAGAAGTATGGAGACTATGTCCTCAAAAACCTGTCCTTCATGAGATCACCAAATATGCATAAACTTGTCAGCAAAAGTTGAACACGACTCAAAGAATTTGACACGTTGCTGCTACTCCATTCTTCGAAGACGTTCCAGGAAAAAGCAGGAACAAAGAAATAGTCATGTTCATCACGTGGGAGTCTACTCACATAAAGGAAAAGTAAGGTCGATTGAAATTAGAAGTCCCATTGGAACTTGGAGACCTTTAAAGACAAATAAAGAAAAGTGTGAAGCTTGCTGTCAGAAAACTTGAGTCAAATTGGTTCAGAGTCCCATGGTTAAATGGAGGTGAAAGTTCAAAAAAAAATACATATATATATAAAAAAGAAGGGGAAATGGATGCCAAAGGAACCTGCACCTCACGTGAAGAGGAAGGAAGTTTGTTGAACTTTCAAAGTCCTATTGGAACTTGGAAACTTTAAAAGTCACACGAAAAAAAGAAAAAAACAAAGGGGAGTTTGCTGTCAAAAATTTGGAGTCCCACTTTGCCTTTAAGTCTCAGCCACAAAAGAGAGAAAATTGTACCTCATGTGGGAGTACTCACATGAAGAAAAAAGGAGGTTGTTGAAATTAGAAATTCTATTGGAACTTGAAGCCATAAAATCACATAAAAAAAAAGAGAAAACAAGCATGCTGTCAGATTAAAAGAAAAACTTGGGTCATGGGCAAATTGGTTCAAAATCCCATGACAAATGGGTTTGAAAATTCAAAAGGAAATTATAAAAAAAGGAGAAGCTACTTCTTAACGAATTCCATCAAAAGCTTTTTTGTGCTAAGACTTTGACGCCATGTGATATCCCATCTGGATTTGGAAAAATCAAAGTGTACAAGGAAAAAAATAAGAAGATTGCTACGTACAATTCCCTCAAATTAAAATGGGAAGGCTATCCATGAACCCAAAAAGAAAAAAAGAGTAGCTCTTCCATATTACTCATATGGGTTTTATGAATATGGCATCCATCAAAGTTAAAATTATTCAAGAAGTCTGAGATGCATGGCACGGAGACAAAGTCAAATACCAAAGTAATAGTGGGTTCATCACAAATATTCCCATTAAATTTACAAGATACAAATGGCACGAAGCCATATCAAGTATTAAATAGCACAAAACCGCAACGAGTCTTAAAATATTACGAACTACGCCGGTTTGATTCCATTAAGGATACGTAGGCAGTTTGATATTAAATTTTAGACGCAATCAAGAAATCAAGACGAATGTCTGGTTTATATAAGCTAAATTCACTTCTGCTGCTTTGAACAGAACCCTTGTGGGATAAATCACGTGAAGGAACAGAGGAAATATTTTTTTTATTCCAAGCATGATTCTCTACAGATTTGTCAGAAGAAAGAAGCTGCAAAGGAGAGGTAAAATTAAACATGGAGTAAGAAATGGTACCAAGCTAGAGTCAAATGCCAAAATATTAGTGGGTTTATCAGAAATAAACCTGTTAATTTTACTCTATGCTCAAGCGGCACAAAACCACTTTAAATGGGATAAAGCTGCCTCAAACGACTAAAAGTCGATTCAATGGCATGAAGCCGTATTAAATTCTGATGGCACGAAGCTGCGACAAAACCCAATGTCCTAAAGCCGTATCAAATATCAAATGGCACGATGCCGAAGAAAAAGTCAAATATCAAATGGCATGAAGCCGCAACAGAATCTCAAGTGGCACGAAGCTATGTTAACTGGCACAAAGCCGTATCAAATTTCAGAATGGCATAAAACCATATCAAATTTATAAATCACTCCAATGGCTTAAAGTCCTCGCCTGCGTAAGTTTAAATTGCATGAGGCATTAAAAGCTCCAATGGCTCAAAGTCCTCGCCTGCATGAGCTAAAACTGCACAAGGCATCAGTTGCTTCTTGCCTATACGAGCTGAAACTGCACAAGGCATCAAACCCTAACAAAACACATAAGAAACTACGAGTGACTTGATCCCTCAACGAGGGTACGTAGGCAATCTAGGGCTACCTAGACGTAGTCACAAAATCAAATAAACACCTAAATCCCCAAGTTACGATTTATTCATATTAGAATCAAAGGGTATTCCTTTCCAAAGGAAGGGTTATAATTAATAGGCGCGTAGCCTAGAATGAGGTGAACTCGAATTAATAAAACCCTCTTCAAAAAATGAACGAGGGTGAAATTATGTCAAGTGAATTATTTGTTTACATATTGTGTACAATTTTTGCTCAACACTATCAAACCAAACAATGTGGTCAAGAGTATTGTATTAGAGAAAGACCGTATCGCATTGTAATCATTTACTGAATAGGTTCTCTACCTCTTCTGTTTAGCTTGGGTAGCCATGATATACTGCTAGGTGTCACTCTTGGTTTGTGGAAGCCCTAAAGGTGTATAATCACTAAAGGGAGAATGGAAAGTATGTTTCAATTCACAATCGATTTGAAGAGTTCTAATCGCCCACTTCCTCGCTAAAAGGAACCTAATGGATCGTACACTGTGTAAGGTAGAGATTGAAGAAACAATGGAGATGGGTAAGGATAATTAAATGGTTTAATTATTTATGGCTAGGATTAATTAATATGTTAATTAATCAAACGAATAAGTTCGTATTAGACCTCGAGTTAGTTTTGGGCCTCAATAAACCCATCAAGGCCGGCCATAAGAGCTGGGGTAGTGAACTTGGCTTAATTGCAAGTTTGCCACTCAAATGTGAGATGGTATAAATGCATCTTTATAGCCATTTCATCATTAGGGGTTTTCTTTGAGGATATCGGAGAGAACACAAGCTCTTCTTTCTCTCTAAGAGGTCAGCCACCCTAGAGGAAAATAGCTAGCAATCTTTCTTCCTCTAGGTCACTCATCTCTTCCTCAATGCTCTCCTTGGTGTGGAGACTTAGAGGTTCCCTATTTTGGGAACTTGGAGAATCCATTCCTTCATCCATCCAAGAAGTCATGGAGCCAAGAAGCAAAGTTCCTCCATCCACATCCATGGAGTCAAGGAGCAAGGAGACTAAGGAAAGAAGGCCCTCAAATGGGTGAATATCCTTTGCTAAGCAAAGAGGTGCTTCAAAGGTATAAAAGTTTCCCAACTCTTTTCTTTAAGATTTGAGTTGAGTATTGGTTCACCACAATTACTAGGCCTTGAATTTCATGGGTAAAGTTTTGTTTTTGAGTGCATACAAGCATGATTCCGCCTTTTAATTGTTAATTGTATGCATAGATGTTACTCAAATGAACTAGTTTTCCCAAATATTTCCTTCAAGTGGTATCAGAGCCTAGGTTTAGTAGTTGGTGAATCCTTTTGGGTTTTGTAGCTCATAGTCTTTGATTTGAATGTTGTAATTGTTACAAGCTTTATTCTTACCTCTTTGAATGTAAATTTTGCTTGAAAATTTATCATCTCAATTGTTGTAGATGTAGTTCATATGAGCATGAATTTTGGAGTTGGAGCTAAAAGTTGGTGCCATGTTTATGGGGAAATTCGGCCATATCAAAATGGAGGATTTTTGGGTTCATGTTTGTCTTGTTAAAAGTGTTTTAAAGTGACTTTTTGAACCCCTAAGTACCTTAGGATTTTACCCTCTTTTGAATAGTGAAAATTTGAGTTTTATTGAGTGAAATCATTCATGGAGCTCTTATGGGTTTCCATGGATGTTCTTCAATGTTCTTGCTTTATTTTTGTTCTTTATACCAAGAACAAAAAGGTTTGTTGTTTTGATTCAAAAAGGTGTTTGGTTGTTTATTTGTTTTTGTTAGTGATGGATGGTATAAATTTTTAAACATTACCCATACCTATTTTACCATTCACACCATACCAATCACTTACAACTTTCAATCACCTTTCAAACAAACAAATCAACTCACACACACCATCACTCACACTACCTTGACCGGCCACCCTTATAATGGGGGTACTTTTGGGGCTTTTATGCAATTACATAAAGTTTTGATAATTTTGTGTATTTGCACTTTTGATCTGAAAGTTTATGTTTTTACGTAAAGGCCTAAAATCACTAAAGGACAAATTGTTTTGCTCCTTTAATGAAGTTTTTGCATTTGTTGAAATTTTTGGGTTCTAGTTGTAATTACATGAAGTAGGGAACTTTTGTGTTTTTACAAAGTGACCTCAAAAGTTTATGTTTTGCAATATAGCCCAATAGTTGAGGTTATTGCATTTTAGCCCAAATTAGTAGAGAACAAAATAGTTTTGTATCTTTAAATGAGAATTGGATTTTCATTTCATTTAGCTCCATCTAAATCAATTCTATGGATACAAAAACCAAATGACAATGTTGCATTCAAGTTTAATTAGTTAAAGCATTAATTAATTAAAGAAAGGGTGATTATGAACCTAAGCCTATGATAATTGAGTTATGTGAAAGGCTGTCTCTCAAATTTGTTTGAACCATGGGAATGTGTAGATTAGATTTTGGTTGTAATTTGATATGATCAAATGTTGTAAAAGAGAATAAGCTCTTCTTTGCTTTAAAGTAATTTGTTTTGATCAAATATTGTAAAAGAGCATAAGCTCTTCTTTACTTTGAAGTACTCCTTCCTTGTTTTATTTGATATGCATGAAATTGGAGTAGTAGGGTCCAACGCCCAATAAGAAAACACGCCTTAATGTGATTAAACGTGTAACTAAAATCAATCACCATCCCTAGACCGAGATCCAACACTAGGCTCGTGTTGGATCGAATCAAAGGCTCATAGTCATCCTAAGGTCTTTAGGCAACTATATAGTCCATCAATGAATGCGAAGCTTATGTTAGTAGTACCATATACTCTTGCTTTAAAAACCATTTTACAAGCATAGTGGGAGTATCATATACTATTAAATCAATCACATGGACCAATAGTTGTAATAGGACCAAATTGTTTTAATAAGATTAAAATGCATGTTTATATGTGATGAGACCTAAAACCCTCAACCAAACCGTTATTAAGTTGACAAACGTGAGAGTGCTTTGAACACTCTTTCGTGGCCTTCCACCGTGGTAGGCTCTGATTGTTTGTGACTCATACACCGACTTCACCCTATCATGGGGGAGTACAAATTATGTGCTTACGCTCAAGAGGAGTTCTATACGCATACATGATGTTGTGAAGGTAGGCAATGAGATGATCAACATCATATCATTGTGAGGTTGTTCTTGAACCCCCTACCCAAACTTGCATGGTGGGAAAGACTTAACTAAGTGCAATGGAGCCAACATCATATCATTGTGAGGCATCATTCTCTAGAGGCCAAATAAGATGGTGATAGGAGCATATTTATGCGACTTAGTTAGCTTGTTTTCTTGCATTTTCATAGTTTGTTTG